TCCCTAGAGCAAATACTTTCCCCAGTCCTTGCCTTTCAAAGAAACTAGATATGCTTATTTCCAGCTTTCCTCCAAGCACCATACTTGACATTTGAAATGTATGCTAATGTTAATCATTTGCAGGACATATCTTTACTAAACCACTATGTACAATTCAGAAGCATTAGATTATTCAATGCCCAAGAATATCTGTGGCCAGATGAATAAAGGAATTAGGGGTCAGACCTGGCCTGTCCAACATCTCAAAATGATGCTCGGTTCATACACAATTGTATACATCTGGGCCTTCCTGGTGGTGCAAGGGGTTAAGGCACAACACTATGAAGCTATCCGCAGCCACTGCAGCATGAGATTGATCCCTGGCCAGGTTGTTGACCCACATGGTGCAGTAGACCTCTCCTGTCTCACCCTCTGCTCCCCTCAGCAGTGTATTTCAGTAGATCTGTCTGTCCTGTTCCCAACTCTGTCTCTGGTGACTCCTCCCATCCCCCCACATCTCTAGCCTGTACCTCAGTTCTTGTATGCATAAATAAATAAATCTTTTAAAAAAACTGTGCACATTCAATAAATATTTATGAAGACTGCTCATAGGCTGTTACTGGTCACACAATATAATCAAAGTACCTGCCTTCTTATTGCTAATATTCCAGTGAAGGACACAGACACTAAACATACATACAAGTTGATAGAAAACACAATTCCAGGCATTAGCTTATGAAATCAAAACAAGGAAAGCTTTTGAGGAGGAGCGTGGTGCCAGGGGATGTTTGAGCAGAGATCTGGAAATACTCGGAAGCATGGCTGGTCCATTATTGAGGTAGTGGCCTAGAGACAGAATAGGAAATGTAAATTCTCAACTTGGTAGCTTGCATGGCATGTCGAGGAACAAAGGGAGGCTAAGGTGGCTGCAGGCGATGAAGAGGAGGAAGAAGAAGAATAATGGGTGACAAGATCTGACATTTTTTTTAGAATAGCAATAGCTACTGTGTTGAGAATAAATTAAAAAACGATCAAAAGCCAAAGATGAAAAGTCAGAAAGGTCACTGCTAAGGTCATGATAGTGGCTCCAGCAAGGGTGGGTGCACCCAGAGTGAAGGTGAGAAGCCATCAGAGTGAATTGGGTTTGCTAATGGACCAGATGTGAGAAATGAGCAGAAGAGAGGCAACAAGAATGAGGTCCAATTTTAGGTCTGAATAACTAAGTGAAAACTGATACATTTACCTAAACAGAGATTTTTGCCACTTCATTAAAACCAGGTGTATTAAGTGAAGTGTCACTTCTTCCCCACCATTATTGTTCTTGCATCTACAGAAGCAGAACAATGAAGCATTATTTTTTTTTCTTTTTCCTTTTTTTAAAAAGATTTTATTGATCTATGCACACGAGAGGTGGGTTACAGGCTCGAGGCGCAGGGGATGAGAGGATTCACCAGAGACAGAGTGGGGAACAGAACAGGCAGACTGACTGAAATACACTGCTGAGGGGAGCAGCAGGCAAGCCAGGAGAGGTCTGCTGTGCTATGTGGGTTGCTCCCTGGCTGACTGGGAATTGAACTCGTGCTGCAGCAGCTGCAAACAGCCTCATAGGTTGCGTTTTAACCCTTGTGGCACCAGGGAAGACCTTCTTTTTCCTTTTTTTTTTTTTTTTGGCTTGAATTAATTACCATTTGTTCAGAATGATTTTAAGACAACTCTCTGGGAGTATAAAATATATTTGGATAACATAAATTAGAAATAGAACAAAAATGGCCTTTGGCCTTAAGTTCCATTGTTAGGAATTTATCACAAGGGGAGAAAGGATTAATTGTAGGAGGATAAGACAAGGATATTCACTGCTGTTTATTAAAAAAAAAACTTGGGGATGGCATAGCCAAATTAGTCATTATACATTTCTAAAGTCATTGCTATGAAACCAGAATATGATTGCTACATGAAATTGCTATTTGTTACCACATACTGTGTAGATATAAAATGAAGCTTATCCAAGAGCATATAAGCATCACTCTTCTGTATGTACATATATACTTAGGAAAAAAAAATATTTGTAAGTCTACATATGCAGGTGACTAACACTGGCTTGTGATATAAGATACTTTTCATGAAAATGTACAAAATGTATATACAGATTTATAGAAAAAATTTACCAGTCCATGCAAATGTTATTTTTAAAGGGGGGGGGGAGGTAAAATAATTAAGAAAAGAAGTATGTGCAAAGGAAAGCTGTAAATCTAAAAATAACAACCAACCTAATATTCTACCCATCTGAAACAGGTGGTACTCAAATTTAACTCTGGAAATACAGCAGTTGATATTAAGTGACGTACTTAATAATTACAAAATTTACCATATCCAGAAACATTAGTATTAGTATAAGGAGTGTGAGCTTGGATACTCCTAGATTCTTTGTGACCTGATATTCCCTAAGCTCTGGAGATTGCAGAGAGGCCTTACACCCCAACTCATGTCCATATTGGTGAAACATGCTGTGTTTTAGTTCCTTGCGTAAGTCAAGCTTACTTTTCTCTCAGGTTGTAGTCAAAGATACTTGTCTCAAACACACTTCCTTCTGTACACTACTCAACTGATAAACTCTTGTTTTCCTTCATGTACACTTAAATTTCACTTGATCACAAAATAATTATTTGCCTTGTAGTGTTTCCCTTGTAATAAGTGATTGATCTATCAAAATTTATACTTATTTGGAAATTCATGTGATAGCTTTTGAAATCACTCTCTTCTCTGTTAGATGGTAGGGCAGGTAAAATAGGGTTCCTCTCCCCAAAATGCATCCACATCTTACTACTTGGAACTTGGGAGTCTGTTATTTCAAATGGCAAAAGATGTGATTGCATTCAGGAACTTGAGAGAGAAGATGGCCCTGGATTATCTGGGTACATCCATTGTCACCACAAGAATCTTTATAAGGGGAAGACAGTGAGAAACCCAAGAGGAGTAGAGTGGAAGAGACAAGGTTATGATAACAAAAGCCGATGTTGAAGTGTTTTGCAACAAGGAATGTCGGAAGTCTGAAGAAACTAAAAAACATACCAAAAATAAAATAAAATAAAATAAATTGGGTTCTGCCCTGAAAATTCCAGAAGGAACAGAACCCTGCTGCTATCTTGATTTTAGCCAAATAAATTCCATTTCAGACTTCTGATGCCCAGAAATGTAACATAAAAATTTGCATTGGCTTAGCCTACTAACTTGATGGTAGTTTGTTATAACAGCAAAAGGAAGCTAATACAGATCGTGAAAATCAGGCCATTTTGTTCACTACTATCTCCATAGTATCTCACAAGGGGTCATGAACAAAGTAGGCAGCTTTTATTTTGCTTTATTTTGTATTTTTTTAAGATTTATGTATTTATTTATTTATATAAGCACTGGGTACAGTCAGAAGCACAGGAGGGTGAGAGAATTCACCAGAGACAGAGTGGGGAACAAAACAGTCAGACTGAAGAAATACACTGCTGAGGGGAGCAGCAGGTGCGACAGGAGAGGTCTGTTGCACCATGCGGGACCCTCGCCAGCAGCCAGGATCGAACCTGCGCTGTAGAGCCTGTGGGCAGCTTCACAGCCCAGCGCTCAATTACTGCACCAAGAGGGGAGGCCCTATTTTTGTAATATTTTTTAATAGAAGAATCATTGGTTTACAACACTATGTATGATTTAGTGGTGTAGGTTCTCAGTTCTTCAGATGTGTGTCACTGTGATACACCCTTCACCAAAACACCTATAATCTTTCACCAGAGTTCACTGGACCCATCTCATTTCTCATCTTTTAGTCTCTGCCTCGGGTATCCTCCATAGTCATATTCCCAGGGTTTGTCTTTGTGCAGTTTTGTCTAGTCCTTTGTTTTGTTTCCCAATATTCCACATCTGAGTGAAACCATTGGGTATTTGTCTTTCTCCTTCTGACATAACTCACTTAGAATAATCCCATCCAGGCATCGCAAATGGCAAAAGGCAAGAGTTGACCATTTTCAGTAACTGAGCTGTATTTCATTACGTTTATATACCATGTCTTCTTAATTCATGTAGTAGGCAATTTATAAATATTCACTGAATGAATGAATACATTTTCCCAATAAAATAAGTGAGATAAATGGAACTGCAGCAAAGAACAAAGCATTTAAAAAACATGATCCTCTCCACAGTCCTTAAATCAATTACATAAATTTCCCATACATTATGGACCTTTGCAGTTACACCCAATTTTTAAAATCACCCCACTGATACAACTTTAAGAACAAATATCTGGCTGTATTGTTTCTTATTAAAGATCTTCTAGAAATTCTAGGTAGAGTAACATTGGAAAATATATTTCCATACTGGCTATTAAAAAAATGGAGATTAATTTTCCCTTTACTTTGCCATTTCCCTTCTGTGTCAGTAATCTCTGATATTGCGTGGACCTACTTGCCAGATCACTTCTGCAGCACATAGTAGTGATGTGACTGCTATAGTACAAGTCCAGATGCTGATGATGGAGCATGATTTCAGGGGAAAATTAACTATCCACAGAAAATGAAAATGATAGCCCACTAGCTACAAATTCATGTGTGAGGTTGAAGATGCTGCCTGTAATTATATGAATCTTTTTTAGAGAACTAGAAATTTGGTGACGATTGTCTTCCTTTGTTGATTTTCTTCAGGATTAATGAGGAGCTTGAACTCTCTACCAGTTATTTTGAATGTTCTCAGCAGTGCAGTTCTCAAATTTGAGCATACATCCCAAAGGCTTGTTAGAGCAGGATTGTCAGATCCCATCTCTTTAGTTTCTGATTCCACAGGTTTCAATTGAAGACTGGAATTTGCATATCCATCAAGTGTCCATGTGGAGTTGCTACTGATCCAGAGAAGATGTTGCTGAAGTGGAGACAACTGGTGTTTCACCAGATCTCTGTCACCCACTCTTGTGAGCAGTGACTGAAAGCAATTGATTCCAGCACTCTTCTCTGTATTTTTAAAATATTTATTTATTTATTTATTTTCAGAAAGGATCTTCAGTCAAAGGAAGCAGACCCTCTGGGAGGCAACAGGAATACCTTTGGTCTCACTACATTATAGGAAACTTACAGTAAAAGTTGTACTTATACTATAATGACAGTGTTTAAATGGTTCTACTTTTCCAGATAATCAAAGACTAAGAAAAATGAAAGTGTATTGTCATGTTTTCTGTGCCCTTCTAGTACAGAAGTGTCACAACATAACATCACTACAATAAATATTGACACTTGTCTCCTGTAAAATCTATTTTGAACTTGAGCATGGGAAAGATGGAAAGGCAAAGTCATCTAATGAATAATTGTTGGAAGCTAACTAAGTGAAGAAAATGCAAACCAAAAACATTAAAAATCAATTTAGAAACAAATAGCATTTTGTCAGACTTCAGAATTATTCATTAGGGGTCAGAGGTCCATCCCCATCACCAAGACAACATGGGAAAGGAGGCTTAACAAAAATAATTAACAATTAACCTAGTCATTTTTCCTTGTATTGTATTTTTTTTAAATCTAGCTTATCATGCATACTTATACACACACACACACACTCGCACGCGCACACACACACACATGCACACATGGAGCGGCATTCTTCCTGGGAATAAATTAAGTCACCCCCAGTAGTGTTAAAATCCAAAGTGCCATGCTGGAGAGTATTAAGGAATTTACTAAAATGAATGTGGACTGCCTCCTTCTCTGAATCATCAGGTTTTAAATAGAAATGAGATAGTAAATTTCTGCCCGCATCACACTGTGTGTCTTCTCTGATTCACTACTCTCATTCATCTCGCTGCTCTCTAATTTGTAAAGATGCAGGCAACGTATAAATATTCATGGCAGGCCTGGAAATAGACTACGCCGTGCTCAGTCTTCCGCTGGAAATGGGCAGAACGTCAAACAGGGCTGGAGATGAGTCTCAGAAATGGTACACTTGGCTTCTTACTGGATGAGAAAAATACAATGGCTGATCACATCCATGTCACTGAAGTGTGGCACAGCTGGATCTGTGAGCAGGCCAGTGCTCCTCAAACCTGCCACATATCAGCAACCTCCTGGGACAGGATTTAAAACTAATCAGTCCTATGTCCTGTTCCCAAAGATTCTGATTGAATCCATCTTGAATAAAACCTGGACATTGGATTGGTATTTTTAAAGATTTTTCTAAATGACTCATATCCAGCCTGGGTCAAGAAACACTGGTTTATGGTTCTCCCTGGTGGCCTAGGGATTAAGTCTCAGAGCTATTACTCCTACGGCCTGCTTGAGTTGGATCCCTGGCCAGGGAGGTGACCCCCATGGCACAGCGGACCTCTCCTGTCTTCCTGCTGCTCCCCTCAGCAGTGTATTTCAGTAAACCTGCCTGTTTTGCTCCCTACTCTGTCTCTGGTGAATTCTCTCACCCCCATACCTCTGGCCTACACCCCAGTTCTTCTACACAAAAATAAATAAAATTTAAAAAACAAGTACTAGTCCATGGCAAGGCACACCAAGTAATTCCAACAAACTAGTTTGTGGATATCATCCTCAAGCTGAAAACATTAATTAATCTGATAAAGATATCCACAAACAGCTGCCTTCAACCTGTTTTAATTTGGTCTGTAATTTGGGAGTCATTTTGAAATGGCTGGAAAAAAGATGATTGAAAAATACTATTCTGTGACCCAAGAAAATTATAACACATTCAAACCTCTGTGCCTGTAATGTTTTGTCCAAATACAAAAGTGTTCACTTATGTAACTATGGTGAATATATTTACAGACCATTTACTGCTTCTGTGCTATGATGGCATAGTGCAATAGTTATAACAGAGACCACAGGACCACAAAGTCTCAAATATTTAAAGAGATTAACATGAATGCTATAGACATATCCATAATACTACAAATAGTATGCAGAAGGTTGATCAGTTGCTGGTCTAATATCAAGGTGAAAGTGTACAGATTCTGGAACTAGACTACCTGGTTTTGAATGCCAATTCTGCATTGACCATTCATGTGATACTAAAAAAGATGGTTCCCTCTCTGTGCCTCAATCTCCTTGCTTGTCAAATGAAGATAGTTACAGTCTCTGCCTCTTAATGTTGCTGTGATAATTGCAGCAGAGTATATAAAGTGTATAGAGCAGGAAAGCAGTGCAAGTTAGCTCTAGTCATTATATTTCTACTGACATAAAATCTGCCCAAACATTAGAAGGAGAATCAGATAAAACTGTACTCATCACAAGATTACAACTGTTAATAATAAAACCCTTACATGAAAGTTGTTGGGCAGAAAATATGCCAAAATATTAGTGATCATTTTCCCTTAACTGGAGGAAATTTTCTTTTCTGTTCTACCCAAGTTTACTACCTATACACAAATAATCTACATAATGGTAAACAATCATAAATGTAAAAATTATGGAAATGGCTGTAACAATGAAAACAGTTCTGTGAAAGGGTATTTCACATAGGAAATGAGCAGACAAATGTAAGCAATGAATATTCTGGGGTCCAAAGGCTCTTCCCCTTCTGCTACACACACATTTTTTTTCCTACCAAAGGGTAAGAGTGGCACCTATGTACTTCACCTTTCGCCATGCTGCTGGGTCCTTGGAGGTGTGAGGTGACAAGTTTACCCATGCTCATCCTAATATACACACTGCTAATTACCACTGGCTTCCTCTGACACCACACTTCATTAACCACCTTGAAAAATGCATTCCCAACCTCTGCTCCAGACCTTCCCACAGACAGTTGCATTTTAATTCTGTATTAAATTCTCATTCTTACAGTCTATTTATCAATAAAATAGAACTCTCTGCTCAGTTCAGGGTATGTGGCTGGATTTCTAGAGAAAGGAGCTTGGATATATAGAATCTGAACACTTACTCTTAGTCACAACTTATTAAAATCACTGATTTTTTCCCAACACTACATTGTTTGAAACACTATGTTGTTTGAAACAGCAATTCACCTATTTCACTCTTGATTTCCTACTACATCTGAAATACCACTAAAACACAAAGTTGTAAATGCCTAGCAAATAAATTCTACTAGTCTGGGTTCATAACCAAGACATTTAGTTCCACCTTATTAGGGGCATTGTTTTTTCCTAAAGTCAGTTTATATTTGCAGAATTTAAATTGAATAAATGAAAGAGATCCCAGGGGAAAAAAAAAATAGTTGGATGGTTTGGTGTAACTCAAGTTCCTAGCATATTATCTGCCATGGAGGCATCACACAATGAATCCCATCATACTTCATTACAAATCATTCTCTATCTATCCATCCATCCATCCATCCATCTCTCTGCCCACCCACCTACCCATTCATTCACCTACCCATTGAGCTATACGTGTATGTCATTATGAAACTAAGAAAAATAAAAACTTGAATTGACAGTTTATAGAAAATAGATCAGTGCCACCTCATTTGGTATCTAATGTTGGTGAGTATATAGCAAGATATTGATAATATAATTAATACAATTCTTCCCTATCCCTAAATGAACTGACATTCCCTATAGGGAATATGGACAAGGAGACACACACGTTGAAACTAATGTGGTAAGGGAAAAAATAATAGCATGTCCAAGATACAGAGAATGAAGTGACATGTCTCTGGGTTGGCTAGAGAGAAATGCCTTACATAAGAAATATGGCACCCAAGTAGGAGATCCTGAGTCTCCTGCAGATTTCCCCATGTTAGTGATGCCTGATGTGGCTGAATAATTTTCACACATACATATAGTCTGTTATCAGAGATGGAAAAATTCATGGTGCTGGTCCTATATAGCAAAGCTATCACATGATCAATCACTTCTGCAAAGCAACATGCATACCTAAAGAAAAATGTGGATTTCCTTCTTGCGACTGCATTCACAATTTGCTTCACTCTCTCCTACCTCCTTTTTTTCCCTTAATTTAAGGAGTTTCTTCTAAAAAAAATTATGTTTTTCTTAGAATAAAGAGCTGTTTCTAGTATTTTGGATAGTTTTGATTCAACTGCTAAATTTGAAATTGAGTAAAATCTCTAGCAGATAACAAAGGACCATTTAAATGTTCATACGAAAATATACTTTGTTTTATACTTGAAGATAAGACAATTAAGCACTGAAAATTGACCCCATACAGAGACCCAAATAGAAGGAACTCATAGGCTTAATAGGATGAGCATTCTCAGGTAGTCCCTGGGGTGTATTTTCCATCTCCAAGTGAGAGCTCTAGTAAGGTTGCTTCAAATAAAGATCAGATTCCTATAGTTTTAAGCAAAGAGGGATGTTTTAAGCAAAGAGGGAGGTCATCTTGGTACTGTGGCTTAATTCTAATTAGCTCTTGGATTATCATTATCTTCTCCAACATTAACTTAATAGATTTTTAGGGATCTAGTATGAAATATTATATCTCCAGAACTTAGGAAAGTTTCTTGTTATTTAACAAATAAAGATTAGAGATGGCCACACCAGTTTGAAACTCCCAGCCCAAGTTCTAGTGGTGAAAGTGATAAGCACAGGGTAAAATGATTATTCCTTAAATAATCATGTTTATTCCTTAAATAAAAAGAATATCATCAGTAGAGTATGAATTTTTGATATTTTGTTCAGCAAAAGTAACAACAAAATTAAAGTTAATGACTGTGAATAAAAACTAATAATTTTCAATAGTGTAAGGCATCATTGGTTATTATTATATGTGTAATCCAAGCCTATGGAGCTTACTAAATATCATTAAAAATGTTGGTCATGGTCTGATCTGGTTATTACATAGACAGAATGACAACAAAGAAAACCAAATTGATGTTTAATATGCCAATGCTATTTTTTTAGATATAATCAATCTTCAAATCAGATTGTAACAAGACAACAGATGTGTGTGTGTGTGTACATGTGCACACACGCATAGGGAGTTATCTTATTCCAAAGATGAAAACTAAGGGTCCAAAAATTGACTGAAGTATAAAAACTATAGGGAACTTTTGATTCTTTTTCTTTCTTTCATTCTTACCTTCCTACCTTCCTTCCTTCCTTTCTTACTTTTTTTCTTTGCAATTGAATATCATCTCCATGAACATCTAAATAGCTTTTTAGGTGTTCATTTTTTT